GACTATATTAAAATTTTCACAAGCATACAATAATGCTGTGGTCATATGTTGCTAAAATGTTGGTGCATATATAATATACACAATTGTAATAAAGATTTAATGTCCAAGGCTCATCCGTTGACGAGTAAAATTGTCTGGCATTAGACAGAGTAAATACTAAATTAGGGTTCATTGTGCATTAACCTTTTAAGCCTGGTTCACATATATGCCTGCGACGTACCGGCGACGATGCCGGTGGTAGCTTAAAACGTAAATTATGTGAATATTTGTTCGCCGATTGCCTCCAGTGCCACAGTTACATCGGCGGTAGGCCGGGAAAGTTGACTTGAGTTCAACTTTGCCGGTATTTCTGCGGCAAGTAGAGGCATAATGATACAGTTGCAGGCATGCTGCAGGCATATGTGAACCAGGCTTTAAGTGGCAATGCACCCAGATGCACTCTACTTCAGTATTTTACTCTGTCTAGTGCCAGATGATTTTATTCGTCAAGTGGAGAGTGCTGCCACTCAATGGGCTAAAGGGTTAATTATCTTCTAGAAAGACAATATAAGGGACTAATTAAAATGTAGGTGAATAAAATCTATCTTTACTTGGATTTACCACTTTGTATCTCACACCAAAATATTTAGTGACACCTGTAACTGTGCAACTAATTGCTCATGCTCTTTTAAATCCCATATATATTCCATCCTGTGCAGGGTACAATTGCCTTATTGCAAGTACCACACAAGAAGGACACACCCTTCTATTTCCCCTTCCTAATTTCTTGTATCTCCACAAGATGTATTGGCGATAAGCAGCCTTTCTGAAACTGTTAGTAGAATACTCGGGTTCTTCGGCTCTGATGTCACACCACCCTCTGAACAAGAACATCTCTGTTGGTACAAGTGTTCTGAAATGTTACAAATGATGTGACACACCTGATTTTACCACAGCATTTATTTTCCTCCTCAGTGGGCATTGGCCGGCAAACACCACAAGTGCACCAGGATGGCTTAGTGGGAGGTAGAGAAGGAACAGCACCACCAAATTCCACAATATTCTTTGCATAATCCAAGCTCCCTTTTCCATTTGAAAGTAGTTCTAGGAGAACTCTGTCCTTTTGTCCTTCATCCAGTGTGTCAATGAATTTCTATTACAATATATGCAGCCTAGTCCCAGTCGTTCTGAAGTAAGCGCGAGAAAAAACTTGTATTAGTATTTTTAATATGGCGGAAAATTTATATATAAAAATAACCTTGTAAATACGACAATGTTCGTTGATCATGTTCGATGTCTACATAACCATATTCGAACTGTATTAAAAATGTGCTCAATTAAAAAATATATATACAAATTTACAATACTAATTCTGAGCAATGGTCGTATAATCGTCGATGTTATTTATATACTCGCAAGTTGTGATCAATACTAGACCATACTGGTATACACAACTACGCTTTCTACTTGACAGGTTTAAGTAGCTGAGGAGATTGGAAATATTTGCCTGACATGACTGTGTTGTCAAAACATTTTTAGTCGGAGACTCGCCATAATTTTCAAGCTTCTACAGTAGATAGCATTTAATATGGCTTTTTATTTTTTTTCTTGCGGTCCGAAGTCATATTTTACGCTTTTCTGCAATCTGATTGGCTATGTGAGCGGTCCGTATGAGCCCGTACGGACCGCGTGAGATTTAAAGCCGTAGAGCCAATGTTTTTATTTTTCAAAATTTAAAGACGAGTTTAAAGGCTACTTTTTAAAACATTAAAATGTCTGCAGGCGATGAAAAACACAGTGAAAACGAATTTTACTATCTCACAAAAGATATTTCTCTTCCCGATAGCATTGATAGAAACGACGTTTTATTTGGCAGCTTCATTCGCGTGCGGGAGGAGTGATTGGGGAAATCCAGAGGAGGAATTAAAAATAATAAAAATATTATTTACCGGTATGGTCGGTCCGTATAGAGAAATATTTCTCTCGTTCTTAAAAACGTCCCTCGGCCTTCGGCCTCGGGCCGTTTTTAAGACCTCGAGAAATATTTCTCTATACGGACCTCCAATCCGGTAAATAACATATATATATTTTAGTAAACACGAGTCATATTTAGCCTGTTATTCCATTCTGACCGTATGGCAGCGAAACGTAGCCTATTTCATTGTTCCGACAGCATTAGAGCAAAACTAATGACTTAATTATAAACGCAAAGGAAATTTCCATAACATTTTCTATTTACAAATGCGGTATGCTTGGTAACCAGGCCAGGGACCACTTTTTTGAAATCAGGGACCATTTTACCGAAATCTGCTAGGCTCTCTCGCTGAAGCGTTCCGCACAGCACACCCAGGCATAAAATTTTTAAGACTTATTTAAATATATCAAAGCAGCGAATAGAGAGAGAGAGCCTGGGACTAGGCTGTATATTAACTATGATCATGACGAACCGCACTGCCTTAATTAATTGCAAACTTTGTGTTTTAAAAACGGGTTAGGATAAAACGCGGATACGGACGGACGGATGAATGACGGACGGACTGGATGGATGACATATATATGTCGTTATATAGTCTGCGCGCAGCCGCGCAGGGTAGTTAGTGCCTTACGCCTTCGCTGGTTGTTATACTTTAAAATAATTTTGTATGTACCGAGAAATCAATATTCCGAGTATATAAATATTATAAACTGGGATGTCACACTGATAGCTTGTTTACATTTCCTGGAGCATCATGAAATCTTATGTTTAACCACGGTGGTTTAACCCATTAGCTGGCAATGCGCCCTTCCCTTGTCGAGCGCCAGAAGATTTTACTCGTCAGTGGTATAGGGTACTGCCAGTAAATGGGTTAACAAATCTGCCAATGGCTCTTGTTAATTCATCAGCACAGTAATGACCCCTACTTTAGTATTTACCCTGTCCAACGCCAGACGATTTTTAATACTCAGTCAGTGGTAGGGTACTGTCAATAAATGGGTTAACAAGGATAACAATAATTAGCCTGCATGGCAGGCGGTATTTCCCAGGCTTGCCCAATTTGAGGAACCGCCTGCCGTGCAGGCTAAACAATAGGATGTTTCTGAAGGACTCGTTCAACACCCTGTAGTTTGTCTTTTGCTGTCAAAGGCAGCATTACTGCCCTGTGGGTAACCTAGTCTAATTTAATAACGCAACTCGTGTGGCCAGAGCTATTCAAAACAGCATTGACACTCAAGAGAAGCTCAGATTGAACCTTCACTCATTGAGTGTGAGTGAGCTTTTAGAATACGGGCGTAAAGGCTGATTTCCACTGTTGCGTTTTTCATACGTACGTATACGCACGTAAAACTTTAACTCCGTTTAAATGTTACTTATGAAATAACCAAATAAATAAAGCAACAGAATTTAGTGTTCCGCAAGTTTTAGAATGCATTTGTTAACTTATTTGTAAAATATTTAAAAAATAGAAGGATTCAAAATTTTACGTGCGTACGAAAAACGCAACAGTAGAAATCAGCCTTAAGCATGGTTTTATGATTTCTATGCACGATATCCCAAGATCTTGAAGGTTTTTCAGAAAGTCATGACGCAATGACGAAGCAAGTTATGTTAAGCAAAGTATCCTATTTGGTCATTTTGAATTTCTTTACAATAAATGCAATCGTAAAAAATGGTGCGAAATTTTGTTGCATAAACACTTTAAATGGGGTAAGTCTTTTATATGCACTTCAAAAACTCATTAATAATTCATGAAGCAATTATCCAATCTTGAGTAAGAAATTAGTCATGTGCATACGTCTTTATACCAGCTAAAGAACACTTTAACAAAACACCATTGTTATGCAAACTATATAAAGATTTTTATATAAAGATTTTTATAAAGATTTTTATATAAAGATTTGACTTATTATGCAAATGTTTTTGAAGTCATTTAAAAAACTCGCAGGTCGTGTTTTATTAGGTCTAAAGCCACTCGCGCTGCGCGCTCGTGGCTTTAAACCTAATAAAACACTCCTGCTCGTTTTTTAAATAGTACTTAAAACCATGAGATCATAACTAGCGTAGATTCTCTGAATAAATTGTACATGTAAACCTGAGCCTTTATTTTTAACCATCCTGATGGTGTTTCTGAATACTGGCGTTTTTGTGAACTTGAAAATGGTCGAATTAAATTTCATTTTAATTTGATATCATAAACTTCACAGCGTTTTGCGTTTTGTTGAACAGTTGTATAGTATTCTCCAATTATATTTCAGTATATTTTTGATTCTGTTAAAAAAATATCAAAGTTGCACAGGGATACATGCATTTCATAGACACACTGACTTTTATCATAAATTGTTAGAGCTCAAAATTTTTCGTGGCTTCGAATTCTTGTGGGTGTTTTCATTTCTTCAATTTTACTGTTAATATTATCATAGTTTTGCCATTGCCAGTTAATTCAGGTCACAGCCATAATTTTAGATAACGCTTACTATGAAACAAAAAATTTCTAAAAAATGCAATTTCGGGCCCCCGAAAAATATGACTAGTTAAGAGGGATTTGAAACCACGACCCTCTGATCGAGTTCTAGCTCTAAGCAGTGATATACTTAAGACTATCGCCCGTATTCTAAAAGCTCACTCCACTCAATGAGTGGAAGTTCAGTCTGAGCTTCTCTTGTGTGTCAATATATGCCGGATGTTTTTGAATAGCTGGAGGGTGAGTAGTCACATAGTAAGGTAAATTAAAGGTACGACACATAACCCTCCAGCTATTCAAAAACCGAGTATTGACACTCGAGAGAAGCTCAGATTGAACTTCCACTCATTGAGTGCGAATGTGAACTTCCACTCATTGAGTGCGTGATAAGCAAGTGGCGCCACTTGAGGGAGGAAAATGTTTAGCAGTGCGTAGTGACCAGTGTGTCTTTCGTGCATCTACTTATAGTATCTGCTGAAATTTTTCTAATAATGCATTTCTCTCCAATTGCCTCTACAATGCAGGAAATGCTTTTCAGAGCACCAATGAAACATAATTAAAGTATTGAGTTACACACCATTTTAACGTAATTATTAATACATAATAACGAACTCTGTTTACATTATATTAGCAGTTTCTCACAAGTAGTAAATTAGTAATAAAGTCAATTAAGGTGAACTTGACATGCTGTTCTTTTAAGCTTAAGTAATTACACACCATTATAACGTAATCATTAACATATGATAACGACCTATGTTTACTTTATTAATCAAATAAAATATCAGTTTCCCAAAAGTAGTAATTTAGTAATAAAGTTAATAAAGATGAACTTGACATGCCGTTCTTTAAGCTTTATTTGCTTAATGTTTAACGCTTCCAGTTTTTTCCTGACGCGTCTAGCCATACATTGCCATACTGGCTTGTTACCAAACCTGTAGGTGTCGCGATAACAGAAATATCTGGGCTTACTTTCTTGGTATCGCTCATCACCTCACCAAGTCCACTTCCGTTCTTGTAAAAGATAGACACATGAGGATTGTTTGATGGAAAGTTATCAAACTGCCCCGGTCCGATGGTCGTGAACCCGTGTGTTTGACGAAGTTTCTTCTCGAAGTACTCGATTTCTGTTTTGGTCTTCAACTTACTATTGACGCCGACGTTAACTTTGCCGGTCCCTACTTTGACGCCAAATTCTGCCTCGATTTCAGTCTTTATGGATTTTATTTGCTGTGCATCTTCGTCAACTCGTGCAAAGATTGGTCGGCCTGTGGCATTGGCTACATGCGTGTTGTTTGTGCCCCTAAGATGTCGTGACATTTTTGCTATCAATGTTAAAGTGCGCTGTTAAAGAAAAAAAATGCCAAGTCAAAACATAAAACACAAGTGCACAACTAAGCTACGCGGTACGCTCGTGCTATTTTCGCTCGTGCTCGAAACTGGTTCTTTTATAAATGTACATGGAGCAGTTGCAGTTATTAGAGAGTTTCAGATCTACGACGCAGTCGACTCAACGACGCGGTTCTGAATTTCAGCTCAAGAATGAGCTATAGGGCTAAGCATTTGATTACTGTAATAATTAAATGCTTGAAGCTTTTTCAAATTACCTTACAAACGGCTAAGTTCAACTAAAGTATGCAATGTTTGCTGTAATTTCGACTTTAAGTAAAACCTCTTGTGACGCAATAAGCTTTCACGTTGCTTGAAAAACGTGCATGGTAGTTTCTTTTTTTCGAAAGCGCGCGGATCGTTGAAGATTTTACTTACGTTTTGAAAATTTTACTTTTTTGGAAGGTCATAAAAAAATCGCCCTGTGATTGACGCACATATTTCGATTGCTTTTTCGAAAGAACTGTTTTTCCTAGCTAAGCTCGTGCGCTAATGCGACGGGATGCAATTAATTATGAAGGGTGATCACCGCCACTGAAATTAGTTAGCGACATTCGGCTTGGCTTACATGACATTCGCCAATGCTTACATGACATTCGCCAATGCTTACATGCCATTCGCCAATGCTTACATGACATTCGGATTGGCTTACATGCCATTCGCCAGTGCTTACATGTCATTCGGAATGGCTTACATGCCATTCGCCAGTGCTTACATGACATTCGGAATGGCTTACATGACATTCGCCAATGCTTACATGCCATTCGCCAATGCTTACATGCCATTCGCCAATGCTTACATGCCATTCGCCACGCAAACACACCTGATCAATATGGACAGCGGATTATTTCAATATGAGCCTTGCAAACACACACTACTTATGATCAGCGGGTATTCGCTGAATACTTAAAGTTTGTTGATTATTAGGACAGAAAATTTTCGGAAAATATCATTTTTAAAAGTTGAAAATTTTCAACTTCAAATTTTTTTTCCAGCGGAAAATCTGTATCAGCCAATCACATTTTACAAACTTTTCTTTCTGCGGAAATGAGTGGAAATGGGCCTTTAGTTTCTGAAATTTGTAGTGTGTTTACGTATAAGTACACGACTGTATTCTCTTTTAATAGCTAATCTTATAAGACTGTTTTCTCAGTTCATATGATCGTTGTCCTTTTAAGCGAAGCTTGTCAAATTTTATATTAGTTAATCTTGGTTACGGGTGGAAAAAGTGATCAAATAGTAAGTTGTCTTATATAAAATCTATCAGGTGATTAGGGTACGTAGATAAAACATGAGGATAACAGGGACAAATAGTTTTGAGGTTTAAACAATTACGACATTTGTGTCATTTTGGGGGCAGTTAACATTTAGAAATATAGTCCCTCTAAAATGGCATTTTCAACCATGAACTATAAAGGAAAATACTGCATTACCTTATAAATTTTACAATTCTCGAACATTCTTTACTGAAAATGCAACATAATACGTAATTATAGTTATATTGCTTTATAATAAGTGGCTATAGCTGACTGTTCACGGTAAATTTGGAGATTTTTTTATTCGGGAGGGGGGGGGGGATAGGACTTAACTGCCCTCCTGTTAAAAACCTCAAAACTATTTGTCCCTTTCATCCTCATGTTTTATCTACCCTAATCACCTGATGGATTTTATATAAGACAACTTACTATCTGATTATCTTTCTTCACTCACAACCAAGATTATCTAATATAAAATTTGTCAAGCTTCACTTTAATACCAAGAAAAGAAACCGATCATAATATGGCGAGAAAACAGTCTTGTAAGACTAGCTATTAAAAGAGAAAACAGTCATGTATTTATACGTAAACGCACTACAAATTTCAGCAACTAACAATCAACAAACTTTAAGTATTTAGCGAATACCCGCTGATCGTGTGTGTGTTCGCAAGGCTCATATTGAAATAATCCGCTGTCCATATTGATTGCGTGTTTGCGTGGCGAATGGCATGTAAGCCAATCCGAATGACATGTAAGCATTGGCGAATGGCATGTAAGCCGATCCGAATGACATGTAAGCATTGGCGAATGGCATGTAAGCCGATCCGAATGTCGCGTGTGTAGTGTCAAATGGCATGCAGGCACTGCCGAATCTCGCTAACTAATTTTGGCGGTGATCACCCTTCATAATTAATACGTTGAATATATGAACATACAGCGGCATCACAGAAAGTGTTTTTCAATCTCTTAGGTAAAACAAAAAGACAAAAGTACCACAACTTTAACGAGTACACAGTAACGCGTTACTATTTTAACAGGATTCCGGCAAAGCGCCATAAGCCTGAGCAAATCTAACGTGCGTGCCTCTTACCTTGGCAAAAATAAGTCTTGAAAACTGTTTTCACACTGCCTCAGCTGCTGTGTCACGCGAACGTCAGTGCACTTCAAGTGGAACTGATTTACAGCGATAAGAGACGCTCCTTTTAAAAGTTCTCATGAACCAGTCACGTGACGTAACCGCAATACCCTATAACTATAGGTGTGCGAAACCTTCAACGAACCTTGTATATTTTCGTAACCAAATGTGTTTGTTTTTTTATTGTGCGACAATATAAAATAAATATCCAGGTTCATGCCCTTCTCGTTATTGAAAAGACAACCTTGAGAAATGTATGTACCTCCCCCCCCCCCCACTCCACCAATCCCCAACCGTATTATATAGTCCCTGCACCTCATTATTCAAAAAGACATAATGCCATTAGTCAATCGAAAGAAGAAGCAGGGCAACATTGCAGAGTTGAAATTCTTGCTTTAATAAGTACGAAAACTATTTTCAAGTTCAGGATAATTTTGTTGTAGATGCAAGTAATAACTAATAAAGATGCAAGCCGACGCAAGCAAAATTGCAAAAAAGCTTCGGGTAGGCCGGCAGCACCCGCGAGGAAGGTTACCATGTGTGAGGTCTCATGCGAGGAAGATTAAACATGTAACACCGTACTCAACACAAAACAAATTGATGATACCTGATTAGGCAGGTTGAATTTGGCAGGATGTTGATTTAGTGCTGGTAACTATTGTGATAGTATATCGCTACCAGATGGCTATCGCATTGGAGAGTACTAAGGAGAAAACAATAAAAATTTAAAAAGTTCGGTAGAAAGTAAGAACGAGATGCCGTTTTTGAATGACATAATTTATGAATTTGAAAAAGTTTCACATTACCAAGGTTTCAAAACTTAAATTTCACATTTGAATTAAGTTAAATACATTAGTAACCGAAGAGGTTTTGTTTAAAAGCTGGATTGGAAGACATAGAACTCAAGCTAGTTAGAAGCGCTTTACGGTGGCTAGGTGATGTTTCCAAAATGGATGACAATAAACCAGTAAAAGCATTAACGTATGATGAACGGACTAATGACAGAACGAAATTTTAAATTTCTATTAATGGTTTACGAAAGTTTTTTAACGATTTTGCATGTATACTATATTGGTTATTGTCTGAGATTTCCCATGCGGTAAAATGGTAAAAAACCATGTTTAATCTTTACTATTAATGGTAAATATTAAACATCATGGTTTTTGCTAATTTACCTGATGAAAAGTATACAAAAAACCAATAATGGTAATTAAGAGCTCAGTTTTTACATAATTCAAAAACCCATCAATGGAAAGTTCAGTTGATTTCCTGCGAATAAACTACGGTTTAGAGATACATGCAAAGGGGCTTAAAAACTAGCCAAACTAGTATTGTTAGGAGAAGACCCCCAGAGAACAGCTAGAGTAGAAAGGACGCAAACAATTCGTGACATATGTGGAAAGATCATCAGACTGCAGAGAGAAAAGAAGAAGAAAGGAAACAACAAAAACTCTGCCTTGAACTTTTCGCTACATCTTTATTATTTGTATATAAGCCTACTCGTTTCGTGTTTAAGCTTCTGACTTATTATTGCTATTACTGCAGTGGGCAATATATCCAGCCTGCATGGGCAAGTTTTGACCTTTGCCATAAATAGAGTCATAATTAGCTCAGTAGCGAATGGTCACATCGTTATAATATAGTATTGTACTATTCAAGTTCGGGCACACAGACCAAATGTAAACAAATTCGTAAGATGCCACGAACAATGGAGTGAAGCTTCATTTGCAACAGTTACACCTAGCCTACTCCGCAGGCATCTCACCCGAGAAAATTTTTTTCAAAACCCATGCGCAGGCTAAAACCCATAGAGAGGCTTGCGGAGGAGGCTAAATTACACCATAAAATTCCGCATATAAGCCCTGGGGTTATATTTGTTCGTAAGCAATTTTTGATAGGCTTATAACTGGGGGCGGGGGGGGGAGGCTTATATGCGGGGAAACGTATATACGGACAACACTTGGTTTTAGTAATATTTATTGTACCTGTAAACTTTATCGTAAATGAGAAAAGAAATATAAACATACCGTATATATAGAGAACATTAAATGGTGGCGTGAAGATATGACTTTTATCTTTGAGTGGTGAAAACAATATTTTACGAACGAACGCAGGAAGTGGGTAAAATATTATGTTAAAGACGAGAAGATAAAAGTCATATCTTCAAGCCACTGTGTAATGTTCTATTTATTATATTGGCCCAAGCAAAAAATTGTATAAACACTAAAAGTCACGTGATAGATATCTGCATGCACTATCAGTGGCGGAAATCTAGGGGGGGGCAAGGGGGCGCCCCCCCCCCCTGCTCCCACCTTCACGGAAAATT